ACAAGAACCACATGATCTTATCAACCGATGTAGAAAAGGCATTTGACAAAGTCCAACACCCATTCATGATAAAAACTCACAACAAAATAGGAATAGCAGGGAAACTCCTCAGTATAATTAAGGGCATTTATATAAAGCCAACAGCCAACATCATCCTAAATGGAGAGACTTTGAAAGCATTCCCCTTGAGAATGGGAACCAGACAAAGATGCCCTTTATCATCACTCTTATTCAACATTATGCTGGAGGTCCTAGCCAAGCAATTAGGCTAGAAAAAGAAATAAAGGGCATACAAATTGGTAAGGAAGAAGTAAAAGTATCTCTATTTGCAGATGATATGATCTTATACACAAAAAACCCCAAAGAATCCACAAGCAAACTACTGGAACTAATAGAAGATTTCAGCAAAGTTCCAGGATACAAGACAAACATACAAAAATCAGTTGGATTCCTTTACACCAACAAAGAGAACCTCGAATAGGAAATCACCAAATCAATACCATTTACAATAGCCTCCAAGGAGATAAAATACTTAGGAATAAATCTAACCAGAGACATAAAAGATCTATACAATGAAAACTACAAGACACTATTGCAAGAAACCAAAAGAGACCAGCATAAGTGGAAAAACATACTTTGCTCATGGATAGGAAGAGTCAATATTGTGAAAATGTCTATTCTACCCAAAGAGATCTACAGATACAATGGAATCCCTATCCAAATTCCACCAGCATTTTTTAATGAGAAGGAGAAACAAATTATCAACTTCATATGGAAAGGGAAGCAACACTGAATAATTAAGCATTACTCAAAGAGAAGAATAAAGTCGAGGCCTCACACTAACTGATTTTATAATCTATTATACCACCACAGTAGTCAAAACAGCCTGGTACTGGTACAGCAACAGATACATAGACCAGTGGAACAGAACTGAGAATCCAGACATAAATTCATCCACCTGTGAGCAGCTATTTGACAAAGGCCCAAAGTCCATTAATTGGGGAAAAGGCAGTTTCTTTAACAAATGATGCCGGCATAACTGGATATCTACTTGCAAAAAACTGAAACAAGACCCATACCTCACACCATGCACAAAAACTAACTCAAAATGGATCAAAGACTTATATATAAAATTGAAAACGATAAAGATCATGGAAGAAAAAATAGGGACAATGCTAGGAGCCCTAATACATGGCATAAACACAATACGAACCATAAGTAACAATGCACAAGCACCAGAAGAGAGACTAGATAACTGGGAGCTCCTAAAAATCCATCACTTATGCTCATCAAAAGACTTCACCAAAAGAGTAAAAAGACAACCTACAGACAGGGAAAAAGATTTTGGCTACAACAAATCCAATCAGGATCTAATCTCTAAAATCTACAAAATAGTGCAAAACCTCAACAGCAAAAAGACAAATAACCCAATTAAAAAAGGGGCAAAGGATATGTACAGGCACTTCGCCAAAGAAGATATTCAGGTGGCTAACAGACACATGAAGCAATGCTCACGATCATTAGTCATTAGAGAAATGCAGATCAAAACTACAATGAGACATCATCTTACCCTGACAAGGCTAGCATTAATACAAAAATACAAAATAATAAATGCTGGAGAGGTTGTGGAGAGACTGGAACTCTTATACACTGTTGGTGGGAATGCAAAATGGTACAACCACTTTTGAAATCGATTTGGCGCTTCCTTAAAAAGCTAGAAATAGAAGTTTCCACAGGATCCAGCTATCCTGCTCCTTGGAATATATCCTAGAGAAATAAGAGCCATCACAAGAATAGATATATGCACACCCATGTTCACTGCAGCACTGTTCACAATAGCAAAAAGATGGAAACAACCTAGGTACCCATCAATGGACAAATGGATAAACAAATTATGGTATATCCACACAATGAAGTAGTATGCAATAATAAATAACAAGGACGAAGCCGTGAAATATGACATGGAGGAAGCTGAGGTCTTTATGCTGAGTGAATTTATTCAGTCACAGAAGGACAAATATTGTATAAAACCACTATTATAAGAACTCAGGAAAAGGTTTAAACACAGCGAGGGGGAGGGTTATTTACTAACTAGATAGTTAATAAGAACTATATTAGGTGAAGGGAAAGACAGCACAGATTACAGGGGTAGTCAGCACAACTCAACTAAACCAAAGCTAAGAAGTTTCCTGAATACAATCAAACACTCTGAGGAACAGAGTAGCAGGGGTAGGGGTCCGGAGACCTTGCTTTCAGGGGACATCTAAGTCAATTGGCATAACAAAGATTATTAAGAAAATGTTCTGCATCCTACTTTGGTGAGTGGCGTCTGGGGTCTTAAAAGCTTGCAAGCGGCCATCTAAGATGCATCAATTGGTCCCAACCACCTGGAGTAAAGGCGAATGGAGAACAACAAAGACACAAAGTATTAGCGCAAGAGGCAGAAAGGGCCACATAAACCAGAGACTTCATCAGCCTGAGACCAGAAGAACTAGATTGTGCCCGGCTACCACCAATGACCACCCTGACAGGGAACACTACAGAGAGTCCCGGATGGAGCAGGAGAAAAGTGGGGTGCAGAACTCAAATTCTAGTAAGAAGACCAGACTTAATGGTCTGACTGAGACTGGAGGAACCCTGGAAAGCATGGCCCCTGGATTCTCTATCAGCCCAGAACTAAAACAATTTCCGAGACCAACTCTTCAGACAGGGATTGGACTGGACAGTAGGACATAAAGTGATACTCGTGAGGAGTTTGCCTCTTATCTCAAGTAGATACAAGAGACTAAATGGGCAGCTTCTGTCCAGAGTGAGATGGGAAGGCACAGAGGGTTAGGAGCTGGTTGTATGGACATGAGGAATCAGGGGTGGAAGGGAGGAGTTTGCTGTCACAGTATGTGGAGAGCAATTAAAGTCACATAACAATGTATGTATAAATTTTTGTATGGGAAAAAAAATATATTAATTATGCCCATTCCCACATTCACATTAACTCTAATTAAGAGCTCTATAGTTGATTCTCTTTGATTTTCCAGCTATACAAGAATATTATTTGCAAATAATAATTTTGCTCTGGTTTTTATAATTCTATTTCTTTCTCTTACCTAATTGCGTTGGCCAGTAATTCCAGAATATTGCCAAGCTATAGTGAAGACAGTGGCCATTCTTTTTCCCCGACTTTTCTGGGAATGCTTCAGGTGTTTAACAAATAACAAACGTTTTATTAGCTTTCCATAAAGATGTCAAAAACTGCTTCTGCACTTCTCAATTTTCCTTTTTCTTCACTGGCCTTCTTGTCCAATAACTTAAAGCCTGAAAATTCCTTCCACTTGTTTGAAGACGAAAAGCAAAGTTCTTCAACCATTAGTGTTTAAAAATGAAAAATTGGAGTGGAGTGCAGAGGGAAGAAGGAGCTGGCTAACCCCCACAACAAATGCCAAAGCAGAGGGTTAGAAAAAGTTCCTCCCAGAAAGTCACTCTTTAGAAGGGAAGAAGAGAAACGCAGGGAGGAGTCAGGGCCACCCCCGCCCCCAGGCCCGGGACGGTGCCACCGAGGAGATGAAATGTGAGCCCGGTGGCCAAGGACGCCAGAGCGCGGTGGGGAGAGACAAAAAGACCTCGGCCCCCAGCGCAGTCCAGCCCAGCCCGGGCCAGCGCGCGCCCCGGGTCCGCGGAGCCCCCACGGCCGGCCCGGGGTCCCTCCGAAGGCGCCCGGGGCAATGGCCCTGTCTCCGCTTTCCGCCCCTCTTGGGAGCGCTGCTCTCTCCATCTGACCGCCCTTTACCCCCTCCACTCCCTCCCGGTTCCGGGCTCTCTCTCCGGTCCCTGCCGTCTCTCCACACGTCCGTCCGTCCGTCCGTCAGTCCGTGCTCGCAACTCCGGCCACCGGCTTGAATGGACGCACCGAGGCTGCCCGGGCGTCCACGCATCTTGCTTTCGAAGTTGATCCTGCTCTTTGTCTACGCAGGTCGGTGAAATAAGACGGCGAGAAAAGGAAAGTGGGCTGCGGGCTGCCGCCGGGGTTACCCTGCGGGCTAGCGCGGTTTGGGCGAGACCCACGGGGACCTTGGTGGAGGGCAAAGGTCGCAGACGCCTTGCAGACCAGGCAGGCGCGCGCGCAGACCTGGTCCGGAGCTCCACGCGGGTTTGTTCTGTTTCTTTCATCTGCTCGTCTCTCCTCTCCATGTATTTCTTTTATCTTGTCCTTGTTTGCTTTTATTTTCCTTTCTCTCTTGGCAAAGAAACTTGGAAACTGCATTCCCACATTCAGAGGGTTTTACTTTCTGGAGAGAGTAAAATTTATCTAACTGTATCCACTACCCAAGAAGAATCTTCGGGGTGAGGACGAGGGGTGAGGGTTGGGAGGAAGGCTATTTTCAGAAGGCACCTGAAGTTCAGAGATATTGCTAAGGTCTGAAACCAACTCATCTGGTGACTTTCCCATTTCAGTATAGGCGACGCACCGCTCAACCCACCCTCCACTTTCTAAACATGGCAGTCTTTCCCTTTTAGAAATAAACCACCGTAGTCCTCCCTTTTTTATTCTTTAGAAGATGATCCACAGTGTGCAACATGTGAACAGTAGGATGTGTTGAGTTTAAATGTAAGGTTTTTGAGAGACATGAATTCACCCAGAGTCTAGTCTGTTTTCATTGATTTGGTTACGCAGTTGTTTATAAGTGAAGAGCATCCCATTTCCCTTCTAAACGTTCTCGGTGCGAATTGCTAATAATTGATGAAGCAAGGGAGTTTTCTTGTTTTGTGATTGATACGAAGCCCCAAATGGCCTTCCATTGGTTATTCATGTATAAAGTTAATTATACATGTGTTTTTGCAACTGTTTATAGTCACAAAACAGTGTAAGCTAAGAGCAAAGTTCTTTGTAAAACATTTTCGTGTCTCTAACTATGAGACATGACAAAAACCACAGGCTTACCCATGACCTTGCAATACTGAATTTATTCAGAGTGCTTTGATTTACTTTTTGATACAAAGATATTGTGATGGAAATGAAGATATCCTTCAACATCGTTATCTGAGCATCAAAATAATTGAATTTCTCATTCAATCTTGTCAGAAATGAGTCGAGATAACTTCTCTAGAAATTTTCAATATGCTTATTAAAATGTAAACTTATGGCTGTTTGTAAGCTGTCATTTTAAAGATATTTTCTTGTAAGGAAAATGTTGACTTCCTAATACAGAAATTCATAAAATTGGGAAAAGTTCCAACTGTTTGATGGGGAGAATCCACCTTCTAATCTCTATTACAACGCTTATTTCTTTGACTTAAATTGTATAAGGTTTACAGAATTTGGAGGACTGGCAGGATCAGTTGAATTAATATTACTTTTATATAAAAATCTTATCTTACTTCATTGGAACTGATAATATTTCTTTCTACTGCCTCTGCTTCTCAAAAGGAAAAAAAATAAAAAATAGTACGCAGTCAATAAAACTTTCTGTAATACTTTCACTGTCTCTTAGCTAGCAGTCCACTGAACCACAACTGTTCCTTGTTCTTTATGTCTCTGTGTTTTACTCCCTGAGATAAACTGAAAGCTCCTAATATGCACTCCTTCCTTCCTTTATTCTTGCTCCTTCAATGCTAGGTACCGAACCCCCAGCACTCAGGAAACCAGCAAAGTTGATGGGCAGCAATGTTGACATTTAGAAAGTTTTCACTCCATTCATTTCTTCATTCTATCGACATCCCTCCCTAAAACAAAATAAAACAAAGAACAGTAGTTACTGAGTTGATTCCAACTCATGGTGACCCCATGTGTTTCACAGTAGAACTGTGCTCCACAGGGTTTTCAATGGGTATGATCTTTTGGAAGTAGATTGCCAGGCCTTTCTTCTGAGGTGCTTCTGGGTGGATTCAAAGCACTCACCTTGGTTAACAGCCCAACACTTAACATTTTCTCCAGTCAAGTACTCCCATTCCCCCCCCCAAGTAAGCTACAAAGTAATTACAAGCCAGTACTAGATTAATTTATTGTCTTTGATAAGAAATGCTTAACCCAATAAGTGCTTTGGGGTTAATTCCTAAACTTTTTATGCCAGAGACCTTTTTATGCTTGCCATATTTATTCAACTAGTATTTATTGAATGAGGCACCCTGAGTGACAAACAGAACAGAAGCCATGCTCTGAGTTTTGTTGGGGAGATAAGGGATGCCCGTACATTACTCTGATGTATAAAGGGTTGTGTCATAGAAAAGGTATACTCACATGACATAGGTCTTCAAATGAAGCTGTATAGGACAGAGTCTGTTTTGCTCAGTATAATATTCTCAGAAACTAGCAAAATGCCTCGCACATTTAAAAAAAAAAAAAAAAAAAAAAAAACAGAACAAAACTTGGCGTTGAGTCATTTAGGACTTACAGCGACCCTATGGGACAGAGATGAACTGCACCACAGGGTTTCCAAGGAGCGGCTGATGAATTTGAACTGCCAACCTTTTAGATAGCAGCCGAACATTTAACCACTGTGCCACCAGGGCTCTGCTTGGCATGTAGGAGCTCGATACATATGTGTTCAGTGGAATTGAAGAGGATTTAAGGAACTAGGACTTTGAAGGATTGGAAAGCCTTGGATGTAGGGAGATGGACTAGGATATAGTGGGAGCAAAGGCAAAAATCATGACGTGTATACGCAGCAGTAAATAATTCCACTTGGCTGGGACTAAGCGATGCAGCTGGAAGCGAGTGGTTGGGGGTTAGATGTGGGTAGTCCAGACACCCTGGTAAATGTGCTGCTGGCTTTAAAGGGACAAGGACCTAAGAAGATGCACTGTGTGTAACCTGTGTTATTCCCCCCACCCCAGGCAAATGCATTACATCCAGGTTAAGCAAGTAAGAGCAAGGTTTCTATACCTGAAGCATCATGTTTTACTGTGGAAACACTTTTGGAAAGAGACCCAGTGAAGTGTTTATATTATTGTCCAACCCCTACTGCACAAAGACAGGATTCGCTCAAGGTTTTACCTTCCGGCTTCAGCCAGTGACTCTGCCCCTCCTTTTCCTTCCTCTGGTATCCTCAGCTATAGCTTACAAGAGCCTTTTCTGAGGAGAGAAAAAGTAGTTAAAACCAGCTGTGGATTTTCCTGGACTGCCTAGTTCTTCAGTGGTGGTGGGGAGCCTGGGGAGTGGCTTCTAGCTCATACCCTTTGAAGGTCATTGAAGAGAGTTAGAACTGGCTAATTTTCAGGGATACAAATTTAAAGATTAAAGATGATACTATTTATCTTCTGGGAACCATTGACATGTTTCATCCGTTCAAAAGTGAGAAAACGCCCTTATAAAATCCAAACTCTGATCTTCACAGAATCCGTCTCGAGCGCGCTGGCGAAAGCCACTTGTGTCAAAGTAAGGTTTGAAGTGTGGTAGAAACCTCAGTGTGGAGATGTTGCGCTTGTGAATGCATTCACCATGCTGTGAAATCCGCCCTTTCGGTGTCCTAATTCTGTAAAGTAGACACGAACACAGGAAAATATCATAAAAATAATGAACAGGTTGTGACATGATGGAGATGTTTGCTGCAGGTATGATCTAGCTTCTTGGCCACAAGATTTGGGGCTTGGTTTCCTGTAACTTTGACTCACAAATATTTTGAAAACACTCTGTCCTTATAATAACTAACTCCAGTACAATAGTAATAACTGAATCTTGAATATCCACGGAGAGTCTAATAAGATCTCACTGTTCTGGGCATCATTCAAAAGGCACCTATAAAGCTGCTTACACACTGGCTGTCCTGCTATGACAGAATAAGTGGGGACATCACCTCTCTCACGATCTGAATGGCTTTCAAGAGCATGAAGCAAAAATTTTCTGCTAAGCCCTTAAAATAACTGACCAGTCTAAATATTTGAATAAATTAAATAGCATTAACAATGTCTGGGATCCCTGAGTGGTGCAGATGCTTCAGTGTTAAATTACTATCCGAAAGGTTGACGGTTCGAACCCTTAGAAGACAGGCCCTCAGCCTTAAAAACCCTAAGGAACAGTTGTACTCTGCACACATGGGGTCGCCATGAGTCAGAATTGACTAGACAACAACTAACAACAGTAATGTCTGGGGAACAGTGGTAGTTCAGTGGCAGAATTTTTGACTTCCATGCAGGAGACTTGGGTTTGATTTCTGGCCAATGTGCTTTATGGATCACAATGATAGGATCTTCTACCGATCATGATGTCTTAGTCATCTAGTGCTGCTATAACAGAAATACCCCAAGTGGATAGCTTTAACAAAGAGAAATTATTTTCTCACAGTTTAGGAGTCTAGAAGTCCAAATTCAGGGTGCCAGCTCTAGCAGAAGGCTTTCTTTCTCTGTTGGCTCTGGGGGAAGGTCCTTGTCATCAATCTTCCCCAAACGAGGAGCTTCTCAGCGCAGGGATCCTGGGTCCCAAGGATGCGCTATTCTCCTGGTTCTTGTTTCTTGGTGGTATGAGGTCCCCGTGTCTCTCTGCTCGCTTCTCTCTTTTATAGCTCAAAAAGGATTGGTTTAAGAGACAGTCTAATCTTGTAGACTGAGTCCTGCCTCATCAACATAATCACTTATCCCATCTCATTAACATCATAGAGATAGGATTTACAACACATAGGAAAATCATATCAGATGACAAAATGGTGGACAATCACACGATACTGGGAATCATGGCCTAGCCAAAATGATACACATATTTTTTGGGGACACAATTCAATCCATGACAACGGGGATGGTGCAGGACTGGGCAACTGTTTCATTCAGTTGTGCATGGGGTTGCCATGAGTCGGAGGCCAACTCAATGGTAGCTAACAATAACAATGTCTAATTCACAGAATATCTGTGTATATAAATACGTATATATGAATATATATATGTACACACACACAGATACTTACAGAGCTATTGAAAATCACTGGGAAAACTATAAAATAAATAGGTTAAAAAACTTTGACTTTGCAGAAAGCATTCAGTGCCATGGCAAAAATGTATTAGCTTCTCCCTTGGTTCTAGATAACTAGATCATGCTTCCGTCTTCATATTTTCAAAGTGAATTTTAAATATAGTTACTGAATCTTATGAAGGTAATTATTTTTCCCTGTCATTTTTCTCACCACAATGCAAAAGAAAATCCCAAAGTTCTGGTTTGTTAATCTGTGAGGCAGAAATAAAATTGAGGGTAGGGGAATGTGAGCATCTCCACTGGCTCCACAAAAGCCATGTGTTATTGATAAAGGAAAATGAACCTTGCTACCTTTGATCACATTCCTTGCTAAAGAATCATCATCGTTGCAGAGAGAGGTGATTTAAAAGCAAAATCTAAATTTTACTTTCTAGGTAAGTCAATTACATGGACTCAAACCAAACCCAACCTGCTGCTGTCGAGTTGATTCTGACTCATAGAGACCCTATAGGACAGAGTAGAACTGCTCCATAGGACTTCCAAGGAGTGGCTGGTGGATTCAAACTGCCGACCATTTTGTTAGCAGCCAAGCTCTCAACCACTGCGCCACCAGGCCTTCACAATTACAAGAACATGTAGACATAAGTATAACTTTTTTCACTTTTATGTTATGCCTTTGACGGGAAATCTAAAGTATTATATAATTTATACAATGGATGATATAGCCATCAGGGATTGAGTTGGAAATTATTTATTTTGGGATTCTTGAACGTATAAATTAGAGAAAGAAAGGTCTTTGTTTGCCTTCAGGGGCTTAGAGTCTAATGGGGAAGAAAGACTAGTGTAGGCATTTACATGAATATGTCAGATGAAAATCTAAAAGCACTAAAGGTTGGTCGGTGCCCGTTAAGACATGAAATAGGATAATTTTTCCTGAATCTGTGATTTCAAAACTGTGACTGCACGTATGGGGTTTTTATTTTGCAGATGATTGCCTTGCTCAGTGTGGCAAAGACTGCAGATCTTACTGCTGTCACGGGACGACTCCCTACTGTTGCTCCTACTACGCCTACATAGGGAACATCCTCTCGTGAGTATTGGACAGATTTGCAATGTTGATGATCTTTCTCTAGCCCAGTTCTGTTTTCAAAAAAGGTACTAAGTTATAGGTATGGGGCAACAGAGGTTTTAAGATTGTTTATTGACATAAAATCTTTACTGGAGCTATTAAACGATCATCTTTATTTAGTGGGTTATATTTTTTGATAAACTGTACAAAGTAACATACAAATGAAATTGCCATGTTTAGAAGGGAGTTAAAAAGGAGTTCTAAAAGAAGTATTCTTTTATTGCTCAATTTTATGTACTATAATGGTATTTTAAGTAGACCCTATTCATATTACTGATCTTTTTTTCATGTGTTTGTAATTCATATGTTTTTGTGTATTTTGTTGAAGGATTTGTAAGTTAAAATTTATTATTGAATAGTGGTCAATTTATTTTGCCAACCATATATTAATTTGTCTTCTGTATCTAGTACATGTCAGGGAAAACAGAGTTTATGAATTAAAAAGTTAAGATACGAAATGTCAGTTCTCTACACAATGCAGATAAAGCAATTCCTCTGTCCTTCAGGAAACAAGTCTAGAGCTCAAAAAAAGGCAGGCACGAACAATGTAAAGTGATACATAAGCAACAACAAAAAACAGTGACATTTACAACTGGATGTGTTAAACATTTCCCCATAACAATTAAGAATTTATTTTAGAGCTGCTTCTGGGCAAAGGGAAATGGGGAGGCAAGACCTGCTTTCGGGGTTGTACATCTAGAAAAGGTACAGCTCTCACTTGCTCTACACACACCTTGAGACTGAAAATAAAAGGTAGAAAATTAGGAACATAAGAATTTCCTGAATCAAAATCACCCCCTGACTTTCAGATAGTGGCAGGAATCTAGCCTCAGTCCTCTTCCATTTTTATTTTTCAAGTGAACATCAGGACGATTTGGGAGCTATTCCATTGTGGTTTACCTTGCCCTGTGAGGCTCAAGTGGACGCAGGAAAGATTAGACACTAAGTGGTATGTGCCTGGCTATTTTAGGGATGTGTCTGTTGAGATGGCTTATAACTCATCCTCCATTTCCTGAGAATAGAAAACCTGGCACCACAAACAATTTCTAGAATCAAAGTTGGAGCTGATATTAGAGATTATGTCTCTCTGAATAAGGCCAAAAGAATCCTACTTCAGGATACCCTTGAAGACTACCATAGCTTTACCAGAAACGGCAAGTTAGAGGGCCAGTTGGTGAATAGAATTTAAGGATTCTTTGAAATGCAAGTAAAGGCTAAATAATCAGTTTGAATTTCTCCTCTTGGGAGACTTGGTGGGAAAGAGAGGAAGCTCCCTTCCTACTTAGAGAACTATCAGAATGATTTTTAATAGCAATTTCTTAGCTCGGAATACCATACACACACGCACGCACGCACGCACGCACGCACGCACGCACACACACGGTATATATATTATATATATATGGAGTCCCTAGGTGTTGCAAACAGTTTACATGCTTGGCCGCTAACCAAAAGGTTGGGTGTTCAAGTTCATACAGAGGCATCTCAGAAGAAAATCCTGGCAATCTAATTCCAAAAAATCAGCCACTGAAAAACTTGTGGGGCACAGTTCTAGTCTGACACACATGGGGTCACCATGAGTCGGAATGGACTCTACGGCCACCGGTGCTATGTATGTGTATGTGTATATATATATATGTATGTGTGTATGTACCATTGACCTATAGGGTCACTATGAGTCGGAATTGACTCGATGGCAACGGGGTTGGGTTTTGTTTTTTTTTTTGGACATGTATATGTATATATGTTTTACATTTCTTATCACTTCATAGCATTTAAAGTAATTTAAAATATTATTACAAAATTCAAATTTTATTTTTGAGTAGTCTCTACACCTCAGACGCTGCTATTCCAAGTAGATGCGGGAGCGGGCCTGGCCGATGGTATAGATTTGCGGCAACCTGGAGAGTGATTCTGTGATTCTGTGATCCTCGGGCTCCAGGCCCGTTTCTCTGGCCACTAACCATATCATGGTGTGTGCTGTATCCCTATTTCTCACCTCATGTTACCTCCACCCTGGTAGATATAAACAGAAGACATACTTAACTATTAATCAGAATATTTTTTAAAATTTAAATTTTCCAGCATTCTTTATGTATTTCATATTTGCAGAATATATACAGGTATACATTTTTCTGGTAGATATTTTAGGTCTTTAGCTAATTGCACCATTTGGTTGAAGTAAAGAATTAGTTGAGTTGATACATTGATCTGGGTTATTAGGGTCATGTACTTGTTATGTATGAAAAAAAAGAATTGTGTTTTTGGAGGGAAAAATAAACACAGATGGCATTATATTTTCAGGCTGTTAAAACTGAACTTTCTGTCCAAAATAGGAGCCACTGAGTAGATCCCTTGCTAAACAATTCTTAGCAAAAAAAAAAAAAAGGCTTTAAAGTGTTTTTCCTTTACTGGATAAAGGAGAGTACCTTTTCAGGATTTCCAGCTATTGTTTGAAATTTGAAAAGAGTTCTTAACTCCACCCAAAGCTCTTTTTCTTTTTTTTTTTTTTTTGAGCGTGTGGGGCTTGGAGGGAGGAGGTAGGGAAAAAAAAATCATTCAAAGAATGCTTAGAAGACTTTTTTCGTGCACATGTTTTCAAGTATTGCTATTTTGGAATTCATAAACTGTGCTTCCTCTCTTTCAAGCATCCATGCTCTTTCTTAGAAAAATCATTTTAATCATCTTAACAGAAAATTAGATCGTTTTAGTTATCAGAAAAATAATAAGGAAGAAGGTAGCAAGCACAATGAAATGTTACCTATCATAAATGAGTGATTTTGAAATGTGGTTTATATTTATGTTTGTTTTCAAAATAAAAAATGCCTTGGCTCCCTTTAAAATGAGCTAAAAAGAGTACAAAATATAATTTGGGTCATTTGAGGCCGTTCCTGAGGCGGTAAGGTACCTTGAGCCTCTCTGCTGAGTCTTCTCCTTGGTCGCCCACTGAAATAATCAGAAGGGAATGAAGATGTTTATTTCCTTCACCTGTCTTGCTGTTTCATAAATTCACAATTTATAGTGATTTGTTTTTAAAGAGATCACAGGAGCTAATTTGCAATGTATCTTTGAGTTGGAAAGTCTTATTTTACGAAGGTCACTCCTTTTTAGATATTTTCTGTTGTAAACATGAGTTAACTTTGGTAATAAATTCAGATCTCTTTTCCTTGTTAGGAACTTGAAAATTTAGTCCTGTCTCATGAAAAACTTTAAACTTAAAACTATATGTGTACCTACTTTTGATCATTATGGTCGCAGATACTGATTTCAATATAGAAGAATCACAACGTTATCTTCTGGAATTTAAGAATAAGTTTCTACGGTAGCCAGAGTATACTATTCAATCAGTTATTTACAAATACATATTGATTGTCTGTTACCATTGCAGTGCTGGGCTAGGACCAGGGATCCAAAGATGAGCAAACTGTCTATTCTGACACCAAGGACCTTGTAGTCTAATGGGAGTTGAAAGTGTAGGCAATAATTACAAACCAATGAGCTAATCTACAAAGTGTTATTGGAATTGGAGGGTCAGGAAAAGGGAAAACAGCTAAGTCTCTCTCTCTCTCCCTCTCTCTCTCTGTCTGTGTGTGTGTGTGTGTGTGTGTGTGTGTGTGTGTGTTTAGAAAGACATGTTCAGGAAAGGTATCATAAACATGGGATTTGAACAGAGTTTTTAAGGAAGGATAGATATTTACATAAACAGACAGAGAAGAAAGGAAATTCCTTCCAGACAGAGAGACTCCTTTGTACAAAGGCAAAGACATATGAAAGGAAATAATCAGTTGGGGAAAACCCATTTTTCCTATCTAGCTAGAGAGGAAAGGCTAACCTTTGAATCTAACACAGGATTATATAGACAAGACACAAGAGAGCTCCTTACTGCAACATAGTTTTATTGAACATAAAATAAAATAATTCAATATTTTTCTGGAAATAAGATGGCTGATTTTATACAACCAGTTGCCATCAAGTCGATTCTGACTCATACCAACCCCATGTGCTGCAGAGTACAACTGTACTCTGTAGGGTTTTTATGGCTGTGACCTTTCAAAAGCAGATTGCCAAGGCTTCTTTCAAGGAGCCTCTGGGTGGATTCAAACCGCCAACGTTTCCGTTAGTAGCCAAGTGAGTCACTGTTTGCGCCATTCAAGGACTCTGGTTTTACACAGAAAGGACATATTCTTATCCATCACTCTGACAAGGGGCAAAGATGAGAAGGTTCCTAACGGAGATTATATTTATTTATTCCATAGAGGAAATATTTGGAATGAACAGTTTGAGATGGTATGCTGTTTGGAACCATTTCTGACAGAATATATGACCTTATAATCATTTTTCCATTTATGAGATTTTTGACTATGAGGGCAACTGTTGAACATTACAAGCTTCAGTGTGTTTACAAATGAGGATTGGGCCAATTCGAGAAGTAAACAATTTCCCACTGGATTGATCCTCAAACATTTCATTCAGCAACACTTCTCCATGGAAAATAAACATTCTGCAATGAATATAGAAAGGGATATTTCGATTTTTGCTGCTCATGAACTTTAATTGGCATTCACTAGCAAGAAACTCCAGCGTAAAGATGTGGACTGTAGAGAACACTTCAGAACTGGCAGAATTCAAGGGAATAGAGGATGTAATTGAGTGGCTAATTACTGGCATCCAATGGAACAAATTAAAAACAGAACTTTTCTGAAAATGAAGGTATTCTATTATGTGAGGAGGAGAATAATTGTACAGTATTGAATATGGACCAAATATTTACTGGTTTGGATGTAGTGAGCCAGATGACAAGATAGAAGATTTAATCCCCTAACTTAAAACATAGATTTTTGCTTTTCTGGTTTGCCTTTGTAAAGTACTGATATGTCTGGGGATTCTTCAGAACACCATATTGGACAACATAAAATCCCCACAGGGAAAAATCAAAAGGAAGAACTAATAACAGAGATCCT